GTTTGACCGCTATTGAAATTTGCTTCAAAGGCGGCTCTCTTCCTGGGGGCTTCACCCCTCTTGTCCTTTCTCATCTCTCTCTCCACCATCATCTCTAATGCTATCCGAATAGGTGTAAATGGAAACTCAGCACTTTCACCATCTCAACGCCTCTCTTTCTCTCTCCGTTAATGAAACAGCTCCGGCTTCTCCCTCTCCAGCCTCTGTTGTGCTCAGCTGGTCGGCACCTGCTTCCCTTTTAGCTCGGCTGCTGCCTGGATACTGAACCTCTTCATCAGTCTGCTTTGTGACCAAGACTCCAGCAACCTTTTGTTTTATCCGATACTGTCTGTCTGTGCTCATTAAGCATCTTTGACAGCAGCTGATGCTCTTATACTCACTCCAGCTTTCCTTTTACTCTCCAGTAATCCCTCTTTCTTTCATCGCAACACTTTACTAGCACTCTACAGGTTTGAAAAGGTTTCCTCCAACAGTGCTTTTTATTCATTCTCTTACTTGTTTTTTGTGTCATAGTTCCTGTGTTGATTATTTTAAGATTCATTCTTGCTTGCTTCTTAAAAAAGGCATGCATATTAGTAAATTCTAATGCAATAAATAACAACTACAGAAACGAGACAGACTTGAGACCTGAGGCCTGTACTACGAAGCCGGATTTTCGCCTAGACGGCTAACTTCAGGGAAAACTCTGGCTTTCCGGTCCTACGACGCTGGTTCTCTTTTTAGCGGGCTAGATCTCTATGGTAACTTATGCTGAGCGGCTAACCTCCTCGGGAGGAGGTTAGGTTGCAGGCTAAGAGATCAACTCAGTGAAAGCACCGCCTGCTGACCAATCAGAGCTCCGTGTGCGGAGTTTAAAGCTATCAAGTCATATTACAGGATAGAGGACAGACAGAAAAACTGCCGGCAAAAATCAACTGACTGTGTGAACGTGAAAATTAATAGAATATCCCCTCCCATCTTCAGAGCAATCTGACTATTATAACATTAGCGTTAAGAAAGCTTACTTAAATATCTGCCACAACATAAGTAACCGGATCAGAGTAACATTAAGTACAGTCCGCGGCACTGTGAGTGCAGACGTCGATGTGTCCCATTATCATTCATATCACATCATATAACATCATATCACATCATAATGTATCATATATTTCCTTATTTGAGTCAGCTTCTTGAGCCGTATCTGGCCGTGCAACACTCACAGTGTCACATACTGTATGCAGAAGTATTATTTTAAGCAACACATTAAGTTGACGAAACACTCGAGTTAAATGTAATTAAAGTCAGATCCACTCGTGTCTTAGACGGGGCAGTGATATCATAAACCTGTTAATGTACGCATTCAAACGCTTTTTCTTTTACCAGCTGTATTCACCTTGCAGGTGCAGCTATGTGGCTTTTATCCTGGATAAAGTGTTTAAGTCATGGATGTTTAAAGTTTAACTTCTTCATATTTGACTAATATTAAAGTTCACTTTTCATTCAGGAAGTATGACGCTGCGCTGTCAGTACGCTTGTCCATGTTTGAGATTGGTCGAATGCTCCAAATACCACCCCTTTCATGTGAACGCGCACCTAACTAGATAGGACACGGCTGGCTTGAGCGATCCACTTGATAACCAGCGTCGTAGTACAGTTTAGCGAGAGCGCGTATGTTTTGGATTGGGCCAACCGGCTAACTCAAACATATCCAGGTTAGGTTGAACCAGCTTCGTAGTACAGGCCTCTGGACTTATGCAAAATTAAATAATATTGATATTTTTAAAGCAGAATTGCTGCACATGTTAATGCTTTAATGTTGCTTATAGCTTGAAGGATTTTCTTCTGGTCCTTCAGTGCCATATGAAATAAATGCGCTGCTGCTCATTGCTAATACTGCTAAGCACTGACAATCATTTTCACTGCAGTTGCAAGCTTTGTTTAGCTTTCAAGGTTGAAGCTTGAAAAATTGGCTCCCGTTTACTTCTGCCAGAAGGGTGAAGCAGAATGTTCCCCAAACCTATGAATGAATTTCCATTAAAATGTTGTATATGCTCACACACACTGTTTGGGTTAAAATATGTGCTCAGGGCTGCAAAGTTGTGCAATGTTGGACAGGAACAAGTCTGATTTAAGGTGCCCTTGAGCAAGGCATTGAAATGCCAACTGCACAAGTGGAGCAGCTATGTGTGTTAGTTTGTGGTTGTGTTTGGCAGCTGCCCGGATGGAATATTTGAACAAGGCAGGGTGGTGATTAAAGAGAGCATGTATACCGGGTGGATCAGGTAGCAGATGTCTGAATTGTTATAAAAAACGTTTGAGTGATTTAGGGTTGTGGTTACGAATGGCTGTTTCACCAGCTGGATAAACTCACCCAACAATCTCATTGGCAGGTTGGTCTAAAGTTTGGAACGTCGTCTATATTTGCCGTAGCCAGAATCCTTCCCGTAGTTCTTTGACTGGCAATGTCTGTCAGTAGACTCATTTTCTTCTTGATGGTCTAGATGTAGTATCAACAGTGGCGGCGCCAGGGTATGGCTGGGGTAGGCTACAGCCATACCAAGAAATGGCTTAGCCGCACCTTAGCCCCACCATGAAAAGTGATGCAAATTCAATTAAATAATAAGCGAAATGCTAAATGTTGAGAACACGGATTGCGAAAATATACGGGTCGTGTCCACAGCACACAAACTGATCCTGCTGTAACAACAAGTGCACGTTACTGATGCAATATGGTTGAGACCATTCGGGCTTATGCTATAAGAGGGGTGCAAGGAATAGTCTAAGTAGTGGGGGAGTTTTATACACTAAAGGTGTGGAAATTCTCTGGCGTTATAATATCAGCGCGGCCGCGGTCAGATCAAAATGCCTCCGAATGCAATTTGAATAGACCTACAGCCAATCAGAGCAACGCAACGTTGGATCTGCGTCATGCCTTATTGATTGAGATCAATCGAAACCGCCATTCAGTATCCCCATTGGATCTTCAACGTGTACTATCATACGTCACGTTCACAGTGATCCCTTTTTATTTACTACAAGACAAATGTGCCGTTTTATTTCATACAGTTCCATTTTGATTGAGACAGGGAAATAATCTAAACCTCACGCGTGGCGTTTCACTGTCAAGGGGGGCGATATAGCGTGTATGTAATTACATTGCAAATACTGACTTGAGCACCACCACTGTATGGGTTAGCCCTACCATAGATTACCCAACAAAAATGCTCTGGCGCCACCACTGAGTATCAATAAAAACATTGGTTCCCAACCTTGATAAGCCCCAAATATAAAGTAATGTCTACTTTTATTCTTCCCAGGTTGCAAGTTGTGAAATTGACAAGTGATTTCCCTTTTTCAGTTTGATCCTTTTAAGAGGCCTCGATACATACAGTACAACTACTGTACAGTATGTAGCATTTAACATTTGTCAGAAAAATAGACACAACTTTGGGTTTTCTAACTTAGACTGCAGAAGCCTTCAGAATATTTTCGACAAGAACTGCACATTTTGTCCAATTTCTTAAAAAACTAATTGCATTAGAAAGGAACACTTCAGAGTCATTAATCAATAACTCGTAACGTAAATATGAGATAAAACATCCTTTAAGGTGGAGCCCTGGGGAAAAATGGCCTCTCTGTTCCTTCTCGCGCCCAGCTGTGCTCCTGTACTCTCCCTGATTGTCCCTTTCTTCCCGTCTTTTTTTTATGTTCCTCTTATAGTTTAGCTGTTGTTGCTCGCTCCATCACTGCCCGGCCTCCACAGTCACCACCCACGCCTCAGCGGCAGCTGTCACCATGACGCCCCGCGGGGGAACGCTGCTCGGCAGGCAGAGAGCTGGAAGCTGGGAAGTGTCTAAAAAATATCGGACACAAAATGAAATCCTCCTACTGTCCTCTGCCTCTCTGTCTGCATCTTAACTGCTCATATAGATGTGAATTCATTCATTATTTCTCAGTCTTTGCTGTATTTTTTGTTGTAACACATGAAATATGAATTTTGTTTCATAAATAAAAGCAATTAAGGTGTAATGGGTTTAATATTTCTTTGAGGCGTGCACTGGTTCGTATTGTTTACAGGAGATGGCCACAGACAAAAGTTTTCGCCTTCTTCCACTTCCTCTCTTGTATTCGCCGGCCTCAACACTTTCCGCACTTGTTCGTGTACCAGAATCAGACGGTAACCTCAGTGATGTTTATCAGCTTGTTAGCTTGTGGATACTCCTACTACCTGCTGAGTTTGGAAAGACTCACTGCTGCAGGTGATAGTTTGACTCTTTTCAGTTGTATACTTGTTTTACATTTTGATTTACTCTAATCTCTGATTTATTTCCTATTCTGCATACTATTTTTAACACAACAAACACATTGTTAGATTGTTGTTGCGTTGCTTACATTTTTTATCACTGCAGGGTTAGGTTAAGGTTATTGTGATTTTCAAGGACTATAACCTAATATTTCGTGAGGATAATGAAGCATTAGTTTCAATTAATGCCATTAGATCCTGTTGGCTAGCCTGACACACTAGATGTTCTGTTCCACAGAACCACCCGAGAAGTCGTCTTTGGAAAGCTTTTGTAAAAGGGCAAACTTTCAAAAATGCTTGTTATTCGATAAATCATCTGGATTTAAACGTCTATCACAAGATAAGGTTAACCAACCAGATCAACATAAATAGACTGACAACAATGATTTCCTTAAGATCTCGAGAAATGGCAAAACTAGCTGCCATGCAAGGTAAAAGCTCAATGACAAAAACTCAAATGTATATATGTACAGAGGTTTGATTGGTGTACTGGGGCAAGACTTACATTTCCAGGAAATTGGTGACATTTGAAATCCTTCTGCTTACAATAATTTCCCCTAATGCCTATTTTAACCTCCTCCACCATTCAACCTCCTATATATTTCATAGCAAAATGGTTTAATATAAACAAGGGCAACCTTAAAGAAACAGAATACAAACAAGGATTCATATGTGCATTATAATGTATGCAAAGAAAGATACAATTATTTGTTGTTACCTGGCATGCTGATCCAGTTTGCCTGTGGCATGGGATGGAGAACCTGCAGAGGGACAGGTGGCGACAGGATTTGAGGAGGACAGAACTGCGGGGGATCTCTGGGCAGCTGTAAGGGTGGAGGAGGAGGCAGAGGAGGAGGCGGCGACGGGTATCCTGTGGGGGGGCAGCCGAGTGGCTCCATCTCTACGGTTCGCAGACACTGCTCCCTCAGCCTCTCCTCCTGGTGGCGCTTCAGCCGGCGCTGCAGGAAGCTACAGAAGCAGCAGAGCATGACGATAACGGCCCAGACCAACCAGAAGCCGGAGAAACAGGCCAGGAAGGTGTAGGTGCCCTGAGACATCACCATGGTGGGGAGAGGAAGGGCTGAGAGGTCCCCCAGAGACAGGAAGAAGTGATGTAAGGTACACAGGGTGGGATGTACGCGTTGTCCTCTGGATGCTGTTAATCTGTGCAAGCTTGTGGCTTGTGTTCCCAAGGTCAATAAGCAAAATTCTGTCACTTTTACATTCAGTAAAAAAATCAAGTTGCTGACATTGCTATCCTTTGGGCTGTAATCCAAGGGGAGAATTTACAAAATATAAGCAGTCCAAGAGAGGTTTATGTTTCTGTCTGCAACTTTTAAGCCACGTGACTTAAATACTGATGCTTTGAAGTCAGTTCAGTGAAAATGTTTTTTTTTTACAGAAAATAAGATCCAATACTCTGTTACTTCGGGTTGTTTCACGATGGCCGCTCTTTCAATTCTTTACACAGACATTAAATGGCTTATGCTTCCTTGTTGAAATTATCAAGAAAACGATATCCAAGATCCTTAGAATTTCCTGAAGAAAGGTAAATGGCAGTAATTTCAATTTAAAAAAGTTCACATGGATGGTTGATGAGGAAATCCATTAGGTATAATCTTTAGCTTTACTGACAAAAACTGTTACATTTATGGATATATTATATATGATTCGTGTTTAAGAAGGGCCGTCAATAAAAAGTAGCATCCTTAATAAAATGTGCGATCAACTACATTAGCATCCTCATTAAATGAAACGTAATTTAAATGATTTTCCTTGAAGAAGGTTCACAAAGAATCTAAATGCCAAAAGTTAATGAGGTTAATCGGCTTGGTGACAGCGGCGGCTTGCCACAGAATATAAATTACAGGATGTTCCACGTTCGAACAGAAACTGGGCAAACAAAATATAACTTTTGTTCAAATTGCCTTTCTAGAAATGAAAAACCTAGTGTGCTAGAGCTGCAAATTCACTGTAAAAAAATTAATGAAAATCTTGATTATGCCCTTTTGAAATATCAAAAGATTAACACATTTCAACTCGTATCAGAGTCTATATTCATTTCAAAGTTACTGAATGGTCCAAAAGCTGTTTAGTAGTTCCAATTAGTTCCGAGTTAAATTGCAGGAAATTAAACAAATCTTTCTTTCTGCATGTTAATCAGCTGTATCCGTCCAGAGGTCTTTGAAATCAGCAGCAGCAAACATCCATTTAAATTCTCCAAAGGCTCCACCAGACTTCTTTCAATAATCCACACTCAGCCAGTGGTGGACGCTGAAAAAGGTTTCAATCTTTTCGGATGGAAAATAAAGCTGTAACTTCATCTAACTTTCAAGGCAGAACTTCAAGTCCAAAATACAAGAGGAAAAAGAGAAATTGTGGAATCTAGAAGACGCAAAAGCCTGGATGAACCGAGGCAACGTCCAATCAGAAAAGGCCAATAACTCAGAGTTGATGTGTGAAACCCTGTTGGACACGTTCTTGGAAGTGAAGTCAAAAAGCTGGTCCCTTCAGGGCTGTGGAGGAACAGAGTCGGGGGTCCGTCTGCACCACAGGGACGCCAAATTCTTCCCTCTCAGATCCCAGCGGGACTCCTGAACCTCACGCTGCTCTACAAAGACACAAAAAGGGGAGGGATGAGACCATCGTCAGCGAATTATCAGAGGGAAAAACCCGGAACATTTTCACACAGTGAGATCTCAGAGCAGTAAAAACAGCGCAGAGGCCATGTGCTTATAAATCTCAGCTGTTCAGGCAGGATTATGATGCCGACCTCGGGGGGTAAGTATCAGTTTCACACTTCAGAGAGCAGCTCACAGAGAAAACATTCACATTGATGTAGTAAAAGACACTGAAACAGAAAACAGGACACTTTGTTCCTTATTTTTGTTAAAACTAATAAATGACTTCAGCTATGTTTTCACACTGAAATGCCAATGACATGGTCTTTTACTTTCAAATTGCTTGAGTCATTGATGGTTAAGAAAAAGCCTTCCAAAATAAAACAACAAAGTAGACTAGACTTTGTATACGCTCTCTTTCTATTCTGACTCCACGATCAACAGGACTACTTAATAAACACTATAATGGTTTGGATAAGTTTAGGCATAACAACTATTGTTTACTACTAAGTTTAGGGAAACGAGTGGGTTAGGGTTAGGGTTAACAACATGATTTTCTCTGTAGAAAGTGTCATCCAACAAGTTGTGTTTGGACTTTGTGGTTTTAATTCATTCTGGCTGTTCTTTGTTACTTGAATGTTGACATTTGTCGTTTAAGGGGAACTGCCAAAAAAATGGTGGCCATTTTTCTTGGGGTTGTCCAGATTCAAAATTCATGAAATTCAACAAAAATGCAGAAAATTGACCAGCCATTAGGGTTGGGCAACTGAACAACTATATTTAGGCCTATACATTGCTAAAAAAATTTGGCTTACTTAACAGTCTGCTGCCAGCACGAAAACAGCATGGGTGTTTTTCTGTCAAGTTTCTGTCTTGACGAGGAAATCAAGCAAATCTTAATTCAGCGAAAGAGAAAAAGTTGAATCCCAAATGGGTGAGATTGCATTTAATAGTTTAACAAGGAAAATAGGTGTAAGAAATGGGGCGGACACACCTGCTACTACTGTATGCAGAGATAGTAGTAGAAAGAAGGCTTAAAGAACAAGGCTGACAACAAAAAAGTCCACTTTAACTCCACATTAATGTTATTTCTATAAAAGTCTGCTTTAAGAATGAAATACAGTCAATAATTTACTCTGGCAAAGACAAATGCTGGCTCCTTCTAATAGATCACCTTGTTTTATATTTCCAATAATGTGTGTGTTCTCCTAAAATAATTATCTGGCGTAAAGGAAACAGTTGGCAACCTTTAAATGCCGAATACATGGATCATTCTGGGCCACAACCACAGCAGAATAATCACAGACACAAACAGCAGCTGCTTATCACTTCTTAATTTGCTCAAATCTCAGGGAGCTTTCCTGCAGCTTGATTAGCTGATGTCTGCAAAATGTTAGCTTGACCCACAATTCTGCCAAAAACTCTTATTCCCACAGTGCACATGTAATTCCAACGATGGTGCCGACCATCCAAAGCCTGACTCCAGCCACCTAGTAGGCTTTAATTAGACAGCAGACCTGTCTGTGGAGCTGAAACTCAGAAACTCTGTTTGAATATTTCTGCTGACAGAACTTATACTACCTGTATATTTTTAAATGTATAGATTATCTGCTCATCTCCACATGACTTCTGAGAGCCACCCTCAGTGAATAGATGACATTTTTTGGCATAAAGAAATAAGATATCTTTTGACACCTACTTGGAACCATATTGAAACAAACTGTGTGAATCTTCTCTGTATTTTCTCAAGCACTAACTGATGATTTTTAAGGTGTTTTTTGTAACTTAATTGGACACTTGTACTGTATGACAGTTACATTTGAAGCTCAAGTGGCGCAACAGTGTTCGTGTCATGTATTTATTTGTCATCTTCCACCTCCATATCAATTTTGCGATTCACACTTCCGTGTCTTTTGTATTTTGAAAGCTGAGGTGATTCATCCGCAGAGGCCTTCATGATATTTCAATTTGTTGGTGCTGGTGTGGAAAGGAGCTTTTGTGTACTCCCCCACTTCCTGCATGTCCGATTCAGTCATCATGTAGGAGCATTCAACGATATATATACTCAGACCTCCACCTCCACACATGTACGACAACACACGTACAAAGTACATACTCACTATATGTACTGTATATGCCTCTTTAGTCTTTTCTATTTTTCTCTTAGTCTACTATCTGAAATAAACTGATCTTATCCAGAAGTGATCATTTAGACTAGAACAAAAGGGTTACAAAAAAAGGTCAACAGACAAAACAATAAAAACAGTAGTAGTAGTGGAGGATGTTTCATTATAAATCATTCAATGCAGCATAAAAAACTATGTTTGCATAGAGACTGCAACAACATTAAAAGGCCTAACAATTACTTTTTCAGAAGGAAAACGTTAAAGTTCCTGCTTTTTGTAGTAAACAATAGTGATTTGAAGTGCTTTATAACAGTCTGTTATTAACTTTATATGAATAAATACTAACTTGGCTTTAAAAATCCTCCACCACTGATATCATACTTAAAAGCAGTACATTTGGATGATGAGAAGTTAAAACATTTCAAAATCTAAATGCTTCCGTCTAATTAGAACTGGTACGTTGTGTACAGTACAGTTTGTTTCAATTAGTAAACTAAACAAAACAATATTACAAATCTTTTAAGAATCCTCTTTAAATGTTACTTTCCTCCTCAAACACAGGATAATAAAACCAGTTTCAGGTGGATCTCTTTATCCAGCCAGTGGAACATGTGAGGATTCAGTGTTTTTGCTTCAAGGACACTCTCCAGGCCTCAGCAGGCCACTTCATTTCCTCTGAGGCTTCAGAAAGCAGCATGTCTGTCGTCAAATTTCACTCAGAGTGAAAACACACACATGATCACTGGATCCAATAGAGGTTGGGTTCAGACGTAAATCTTAAGATTACCAAAAAATGGTTCCTTTGAAATTAATTTTCTTTTTACTACTTGTGTCCTTGCATTCTTTAAACTTTACTCATTTCATAAAGATCATTGAACTTCACATAAGAAACTTTTAAAAAGGTAAACTTCGTACTTTTCAGCAACAACATTTAACAAGGTTTTGACATCCATATTGGATAAACAGCGTGTTTAAACATCATTCCTCATGAAATGTATAGGTACTGTAAGAACAAACTCTTCATGGGTTTAGTAATATATAGTGCAACTCAAATAGTAAACTGATATGAATACATATTCAGATTATGCATGACAATCCAATTTATATGTTTCGCATTAGAAGATCAAACTGAATGTAAAAGGCCCAAAAACACTTGAAATACGTGAACAACTTCACACGGTATCCGAATACAAATGATCAGACACCAAATATAACATAAAAATACTTAGTTTATGTTTTCAGGTTATTTTCTATCCTCTAAAATGCCTCCCCTGCTGGTCCTGTGTAGCATTAACTCACAGTTTTCTCTCTTCAGGTGTTCCTAATCAGGCCTGATTGGGCAAGTGTGGAAATAAAGAGGGCAGGAAAGACTGAGCAGATTGATGGGACTCATCTGCAGTTTGTTTCTCTTTGCAGCCCACTAGCTTTGGGAAAATGGCTCCCCTCATGCCAGTCATGTTTTGTTAGGCTTTTCCTTGGTGTTCAGTCGTTTTTTGGGAGTGTCGAGAGGCCCAATGTATGGTTATTTTTGAAGAGCCATCTTTTATTTTTGTTAAAGTGGACCTATCATGCTATATTTGAATAATATATTGTAGGGCCATACCTATATAAAACATGTCTGTGAAGTTTTTTTTTCAAAATACCAAACAGATCATGCATTTTAGCCATGCCTCATTTCGCTCCATTTGCTCTTTTCCAGCCCTGTTTTTGCAAGGGCTGATTCTGTGAGAAGTCTTCTTCGCTGCTTTTGTGGCAGACTACAGTGCCACTTACAGGCCTGGCATATGTGACCTGCTCTATCGAAATCAGTCGCATTGACCCGAAGACACATTTTGAGTTGAATACACTGTTGGAAAGAGGAGATTCCTAGCTTTCTAATTATATCAAGATTGTTTTTGTACTCCAAATATTAAGCAAAATATGTCAAATTATATAATGACTGTCACCGAGTCATCATTTTGAGAAAAAGGCCTTCAAAGTTTCCTCTTCTCTGGAATCCATCGATCTGATTGATTATTAGCGGAGCAAATGATCAAAATAGTCCGGAGGGAAAATATTTCCGTTTGGATTACTGGTCTGGGGGAAGCTGGCGAGTGTGTGTGTATGTGTGTGTGTGTGTTTGTGTATTTTTGCATTTGTGTATATTGTGTTTGTTTC